GCCCGGCCCGACGGGTTTGGCCCGACCCAGCCCGTTTTGGGGCAGGTCCTACCCGACCCGCCAACAGGTCAGGTCAGCCTGGGTATTACCCTCAACCCGCCCCGTACCTGGCCCGCCCTGCATATATCTAACCAGTAATAGTGGTCATTTGCACATGCAGGTGTGTGATCTTTGGAATCACCGAAAGTAAATTCCATCTCGACAATAGCTCCCCCATCGCCCCTTTCTCTCCCACCAAGACACCCACGCAGCCACGCTTAGCATTCCCATTGAATCAAATTGATGATGCTACCTTCCCAATAAGCCATCGCCGAATCATCTTCTCAACCTCTATTTATTCCGATTCCAATTTCCATCTCCTAGACAGAACCCTAGGTAGCTGCATCATCATCTTCATATCAGGAGTTTCCATTTCTTAGTTCTCACCCAATTTCAAAACCCAATCTACTATCCGCTTCACATCTCTTCGTCATCACGCCAAAGCCTCATCTTGCGGTTGATGCACAGGTAACGAGTTCTTCATTTTTTGCTTTTTATATTTGTTCTAATGCATAGTCCAAATCAATTCATTGTTTGGATTCTTCTTTTCTTTTTGTCTTGCTTCTTACCCTGTTAGAGAAAGGTTGGTAATATCTAGCTCAAGCATTCTATAGGAAAACAACTACAACATTAGCAGCCATTAGGCATTTTAGAATGCTTATTAGTTTCTGTTAGGGATTTTATCTGTCATTTTTCTATTTGGTTATCATAATTGGCGTCATCTGCATATATGCAAACTGTAGGGTATCTAATGGCAGAAGAACTTGGTACAATAATTCCAAATATGAAACACAAAGCTTCTTCCAGCTTGTGGGTTCATTTAAAAAAAAAAATAGAAATCGACAATGAGAAGGTTTCATAGTAGAGTGGATGGTAAAGTTGCATGTGTATTAGGGAGTAATAATGTGATGTTCATTAGTAATTAGAACATTTTCAACAATTGCTATTTGTTTCCAAGTATCAGAGCACCAGAGGACTAGTAGAGTAGCCAGAAAAGAGAACAATGTTCTGTATCAGAAACCTAATTCATAGTTTTTCTTTTGACAAATGTCCCTGTGAAACAATGTTCTCAATATGGATGCTCAATTTTGTTTGTTCTTTCTCATATGTTGTGCTTAATTATTATATTACGTACTTGTTTCTAATCCTATTGCTATAATTTGATGTGGATTTATGGTTAAATGAGATGCAGCTTGCAGCAAGCTGATGAACTGAAGTTTTAAGTTGCTGGGAGATATGAGGATTTAACTTGGAAGCTGATGCATCAAGCTGATTTTCTATTTCTTTTTGCTCTAGTCTTGAACAATTAGCCATTCCAAATTTTCGTGTATTCTTTTACATATTTTGGAGTTGAGTTGAAGTTCATTTGGTGGTTTTGGATTTCTATACGTGCTTGAAAACGGTGGTGAATGGTGAATCGCAAATGATTCCATTGCGCACTTATTTTATCGTATGGAAGAATGGGTCAGGGCGGGTTTGACCCTCCCCGTACAGGGCAGGTCGTGGGCCAGAATATCAATATCCGCGGCAGGTCATGGGGCGGCGCGGGGCGAAAATCAAATTGGCAGGGCAGGTCCGGGTATTGCACTACCTGACCTGTTCTGGACCCATTGTCATTCCTACTGGTCGGGTCGAGGCTGGTTAGACCCAGATCGAGCCGAATTGCCCTAACTAGTATCAAATAGGGGCGGACAACAGGGGGATGACGGCCTGGAAGGGCCCCTACGGCGCTACTAGCTCCTCCGGCCATCCTTTCTGTAGATCACGAGCACTAGCACACTATACTAAACCACGGGAGAACGATAGGCGTGGACTTCCGGCCATGGAAGGCAGCTATGAGAGCTACCCAGGCAGTTACCAGGGCGACTATGGGCAAGATAACCAGGGGAGGGAGACACGGTTTGATCGTGGCCACCCGGGAGGAACGTCGGGTTTCGACAGGTACGAATCGTATTACCACTCTTATGATGGGACTGACGGATTAGTTTTGCGAGCCAAACCCCCAACCATTGAATTTCCAAAATTCAATGGTCAGAAGGATGCAAGACTATGGTTGTACGCAACTGAGCGGTGGTTCAAAAATCACCCGATACCGGAAGAGCGGAAGGCGCACCTGGACTCCTTTTACTTAGAAGGAGAGGCGCTACAGTGGTGGGAGTGGATGGAGAGGTCATATGCCACAGTGAAGACCCTGATCACATGGTCGATGTTCCAGGAGGAACTCCGCTACTAGTTTGGTAAATTGAAGGGATGGGCTCCTAAGCAGTTGGGCAAGCTGAAGCAAACAGGGACTGTTGTGGATTACCAGGCAGAGTTTCTCAAGCTGGGCAACCAACGTAGAGGGGTGCCCGAGGACACGCTAGTGGGATTGTGTATGGCGGGATTGAAGCCCGAGATTGTTGCGGCAGTCCGGGTCTTCGAGTCTGACTCCTTGAAGTCTGCCTTTCGTCTTGCAGGTCATAAAGAGGAGGAGCTCGCGAGCTGGAGGAGCACCATGGGCAGCTACCAGCGGCCGAGTGGGGGGGAGGAAGTGGCAGCGGAACTGGCGGAGGAGAAGGAGGAGGATCGACAGTCGGGGCGGGCGTCGGTGTCATAGCTGGCACCACTGCTGGCGTGACTCTGGCGGCCAGAGGCGGGCCGAGACAACCGCCCAAGGGATTTGTTCGACTTTCTCCTGCAGAGATCGAGCAAAAGAGGTGGGAGGGAAAGTGTTTCAATTGCGATGAGCGGTTGACGGTGGGACACAAGTGTGCACGACCAGACTTGATGATGCTGGTCGGGAGGTGGGAGGACGAGGCTGAGGATGAACGAGCGAAAAGGGCGATGAGGTAGTAGACTGACAACCTTGGGGACAAGGTTGTTTCGAAAGAAGCGGGAATGATAGAAACTAGCTATTTTGGTTTTGCACTTTTGGACTGATTTATTGGGTTTTATTGTGTGGGCTTTGATTGGTTATTTTGGAATAATGTGGGGATTAATAAGTTGGGATAGTTATAGGAAATTGTGCTTTTAGTATTTATACTATGTGCTACGTAGAGAAGAGTAAGTAAGATTAAACCTAAAAGCATTCTCCTAATCTCTCTCTCACATTCTCTCTACTGCCTCTGCTGACCCCTCTTCCAACCTCACCTTGCTGCCGAGCAGCCTTTTGCTTCTTCCTTCCATCTTCCCAATTCCCTATTACTACTTTTTCCATTTCCACAAACCCTACGGATCAATATCTCATTGATCTCTCGTATTCCAATCCCTAGATAGAACTCGACTCACCGGGTTCTATCACTGTCTATCAAATGTTTTGTATTTTTTGTGTAATTTTGCACCAATGAATCATCATCTTTGCTAGACTAGTGCGTGGCTGGAATGTAGGGTGCAATAGTAGATTTTAAAGCTCAAATCCCTAATTCAGATAAAAGATATGGTGCATATTTTCTTTTCCATAAATAAATACTATTTTCTAATCTAGACACTTCTATGCCAAGAAAATATTTCAATTAACCAATGTCTTTTATAGTGAAAGTATTATCAAGATGTTACTTAACCATTCTGATTTCAAGAAAGCAATTTCCTATTAGAATGATATTGTCAACATAAACTAAAAGAGCAATAAAGGTGTTTCCTGTATGTTTAGTAAATAGTGAGTAGTCACTATGTGATTTGTGATATCCCAAACATTCTAAAGTAGTGGTTAACTTTGTAAATTATTGTCGACTAGCTTGTTTTAATCTATATAAGGATTTGGTCAGTTTGCACACATTGCTTTTAAGCAAAGAAAACAATGAAGACCAAGAGGATTAAGCGTGCAGACCTCTTCATTCATGTCTTCATGAAGAAGAAAAAAAGATGTATTGACATCCAATTGTTTTAGGAACCAGTTTTTGATAGCATGTAGGGTTAGAAATAGAATGATCCTAATTGTTGTCTTTTGAATACTTTTTTTTTAATAGAAATGCTTCTGTCTTTTATTAATTGTGGGAAATGTTTGTTACACTAGCTTCATTTTGTAGAAGAAGCACAATGGAATTTGGTGGACTATCAACCCAAATTGTTTTCCCTTCCCAATCACAATCCAAGTGGGCCACTACATGTGCTAGCTCATTAAATTTTCGGCCCACAAACTTCCACTCAATCCGACCCACCTCCGACGCCCGCTTTTTGATTTCATCACAACCCCTGCCTATTTCCAGCTTCGACTGTCTTTCTCCTCTCATCATTCTCTCCACCGTTTGGCAGTCTGTCTGGATCTCACTGGAGAGGAAATGATGTCGGCCGGCCAATTCGACTCCAAATTTCACCGCCATAGCTTCGGCAAGTTCCGGGTCCCATCGTCGCCTCGTTCGCCTAACTGCCGCAAGACAGAAGGAGCCCTCCTTATCTCTCACCACCACCCTCATCCCAGTTCCTTGATCCGTCAAACAGGCTGCGTCGACATATCAAGATAATCTAATTCAGGGGTCTCATTATAAATCTTAGATACTATATTGGCCTTGTATTTCTCAATACTGCCATCAGGATTGTATTTAATTCCACAAACTCACTTATGAAAATATGGGTTGAACGGGCATAGGTGATCGGGTCGGGTTGAGCCGTATGTGGGTGGGTGGTTTTGGTTATTATTATTAGTTATTTTCAGAGCTACTATTTAAGGAGGTGAAACACATTTCAAGAGGATTATGAATAAATCAGATTATTGAAGCCAATACCTAATTTCCTCTCTCAATTTCCCAAATTCTCAATCCCTATGTCTTCTTGTGTCTATCACTCTCTTGTTGGCAATGGATGGTTTTTTTTAATTTTTTCTAGAGGGGGGACTTAAAACACCGAAGTTTGAGTTTGAGAGAAGAAAGTTCAGAGTTGACAGCTTTCATCCACTATTCAAGAGGTGGAGGCCTTTTTACATGAGCTATGTTCTCTTGTTAAGCTGATTGATAGAGAAAAACAAGCACATGAATAAGCATTGCAGATCTGAAATGGGGTAGTGGGTTAGATTAGACCAAGAATTGACATATCATATGAGAGGTTATACTGGAAAAATTAGCAGTAGGGTATTTTATGCTAAAACCGTAGTTTAACTAAGATTCAACCACTCCATTCTGCGTATTGGTTTAGCCTCCGGTTTAAGGTTTTTCTGGTTGAACCGCCGATAAGATATTTCAATCTTTGGATTAGACCAACGAATCTCTCCATTCACCTCTTTCATCTTTGCTGAGTATTTTACCTGGTGCTCCTGACAATGTCTAAGAAAAACTTGTGTGGACAAGACCGACAGGCACACAAAAGAACAACAACACTGCATTCTAATAGCCATATATGCATTAGCGGGTCCCTTCATCAATCTTGCCAAGAGGCTCAAGCATTCAAAATCAAATAATAGGGCAAGTACTCTCCCAACTAAAATCATGGAAGGAATGATAGCCCTTGTAATTATGACTCGAGTAGAAGTCAACCCACAAAGAAGACAAATCCAGATTTGAATCTCAGGCCTTCAGCATAGGATTCCCAAGCAGTTTTAACAAACATTCACTGCATTATATTCAAGTTCTGCTATGATTACCATAAAAAAAAAATTAGATAAAAACGGTGCCTACAACATATTGCATGCTTCTGCAAGCTAGCTTCAAATATATAGGTTCTCATTTCAACTGCAAAACTTACACAATCTCACAGGTTCGACATGAGTAGCAAGATTCTCAAATTCCTGCTCTTACCATGCCTTCTGCTCTTTGCTATACAACACGGGATATTCACCATTACGAGGGTTCAAGCTACTGGTTCAGGCAAGCCCCTTCATCCTTTCTGGCCCTTTTCTAGCCAAATCTAGCAAAATGCTTCATCTGAAATCGCCTCGTCTTCTACATTACAACACATTACAAAACTCAACTACAAAAGCAGCTTCTTACTCAATCAGATATGTATGTGGAACTTAAACAGATACTTCAAAGTTTCTCACGTGTACTAAACATTACTCATATGCTGCATCTTCTATCACAGATCGCTTTAGAATCAAGCCTGCACAATTCAGCTCCAGTTCACAAAGGGAAGCCGCACCACGTTGGGTAAGCCATCCAGTCACCTATCACCTATGAATGTTCAGACAAGTTTTACTAACATATTGTTATGGCATAAACCAGGTTGGAGACAAGAGGGTTTGGAAAGCTCCATCCGGGCCTAACCCAGTTGGCAATCACAGTCCGCCCACAAAGCAGTAGATCAATGGATGCACTTCCCTAGCAAGTATACATAGTAACTATTCTTGTAAGGTAGAAGGTAAGATGATGCATTAATTAGACAGCAAGTGTTGATCTCTAGGTTTCGTGCCTGTAAATTAGTGGAATTTATTTGGAAACATCAATGTCAGAGCAATTGTGTAAAATGAAGGCCTGTCTAGATGATGCAGCATAATTTTCTTTTTTCGATTGGTATAAGATAAATAGATTTCATTAGGGTCGAAGCATAATAGAGCTTTCTACGTCCTTCCTCAAGGAAAGTAATTTTTGAGCTCCAGATTGTTGGTGGAAATATACTAGAGAAGCAAGTGGAATTCCTAAATGAGCTTGTTTTCCTAGACTTACTATCAAATAGATGAATCAGTTAGCGGACTAATCATGTAGTTTCAGGGACCGGGAGGCATTATTGTGCAGAGAATGTAGAATTGAGTGAATAAGCACCAAGTCCTAATGGAAGGCTAAGATAAATAGAGAAAGAAAGTACAAGGCCCTTGCTAACAGGAACCACTGTGTTTAACTGCAACAACCAGGCTTCTTATTTTAAAATATCACTTGAACAGCTCAGTAAACAACATGATGCAATTAAAGCAAGCAGCAGCTTTGCTGCAAACTGGCTGATTCCTTCTTCGACTGCTTCAAAAATCAATATCGGAAGATAGCAACTATATGCAATAACATAGCAGCAGTACATCATATGAAAAACATAGCAGCAGTACATCATATGAAAGACAGACCCGACAACTTCTGCCTATTCAAACATTCACCTTTGTACTGAAAATCAGGCAGCATAGAAATGACACTATATAATTGATAATTAACTGTGTTGAGATATAGAGAACTCACCAAACATTACAATCATCTTGGTCTCGCCAAGACTTTCTTAAACAGTGCGTTTTCTTTTTGACCGTTTGCTTCTCTTTGGCCGTGAAACATCAGGCACCTGTTTACCTGCACTAGAAGCATATGCTTCTTCTAGCACCTCCTCGCCCTGCCAAAGAGTTCATATTAGTCCTGGTATAAAAATATGCAATAGGTTGGTTCATAAAAAAAGAACAGCTGAATAGTAATCCAAGACAAAATCATGAGAAGATCTATGAAGCATACTTTTGCTGTTCTGACTGAAAAACATTACCCAGAGCCCGGGCGTCAATTAAGTCACATTTTCTTTATTCACCTTTTATGTACTAATCCCCACTATATTAGATTCTCGCCAAACCACACTGATCATGCAAGTATTCCAGGGGATACCAAGTCTCCTATAATAAAGGTATGGCATATTAGCTATACAAATCTAGTTGGTGAGTCTTCTCCATTTGCAGGAACCATCTCTTAAAATGTCTTGGTTTCTCCTAACAAATTGTCTTTGAACTCTCGGACTTTATGTACATCCATAATATAATGCACTTGCTTGATAAAGTAACACATAAGCACCATCAGCCATGGACATCCATGCTAGGGCTAGGCGACTCAGCTTCTCATGATTCAAGCGTCACTCAGTTACCAAATGTGGGAAACCACAAACTAACAGGATTCTGCTGCAGAGTACAGCACCTTATTTTCTAACCTTTACCAGAGGCCAATAGTTTTCAAATCCTATATTTCCAAGGATTCAGGTAAAAATGAAGTATCATAACAGAGTGCATAGGGGCAACATAAGCTGAAGTTTAAAATTTACCTTGTCCTCAGTTGCACCATCTGAGTCTTCCTCCCGACCAGATGCAGAATCCAGAATCTGGCTATCATCTGTTGCTAGAGCCTTGCCCAACTTTTTCTTCTCCTCATTCCTCAGCTGCTTGAACCTGTCAATCCAAGGCTTTTGCTTATTAAATCCTGAAGAGGACCCATAGAGCAAATACATAGAAGCAGAGAACGGACCTTTCACCCGGCCCTGCTGGCTGTGCAACCGATCGCTTTGCACGTCCTGCAGTGATGATTCCACAGGCATCCTCGTTGACCGCTGGCTTGGCACCACCCAATTTGCGCAACCATACCTGTTGGGCTGTGCTTAGAACATTGTTCGTAAACCTACCAGAATGGAGGACACCTTTAGAAATTCATCAACCCAGAGAAGAATGCAAGAAACACCAAGGTACTGAGAACAAACTAACAGAGTACATAGCATTTAAAAGAAGGTGATGTCAAAAAGCATCATCTGACATGGCTATTATTGCTGGTGAGTGTAAGAAACCTACAGGGTTTTCTTAAAACAACACTTTGAAATGTGAATTCCACTTCAATAAAAAAAAAATAAAAAAGAACATAACTATGTCAGCCTAAACTTAGAGAGTAGTTCTCAAAGCTCTTTGTTGTATCGATTAGACTTCCATACAAAGATATTCAAACTTGCTACCAAGAAACTTAAGCTGCTCTGAAACCGATGGCCAGAGACATACTTAATAGGTGGGCATCTTTTTTGGTAATTGGTATTATATGAATATTCCTGCGAAAAGCTGGATAGCAAGATACCTAGAATACCAGCTCTATGCCCAAAATTCCCACAGCACAACAATTTGTAAATGGCTAATAGTTTCTAATCTAAAATAGAAGAGTAAAATAGCCAGGCAAAATATCCTCTGTTGCCAACCGTCAGAGTTGAAGCTGGAACTTCTAACTGCTCAAACCAGGACTGGTGAATGCCGTAGGTAAGTGAGACAGATAAAGGACAAAAATGGTCACATAAATTGCAGATATTGCATATAAAACAGTGATATTGTTGATAAGAAACGAACCAATAGATTGTTAAGCCTGATGGCACAGACAAGGAAAAGTATCCAATCATCAGAGGAAGGAATTTGAAGACCAGAAGCGTATTCTTTTGGGCAGGATCATCTGTCTGTCAAAATCAATGACACAAAATTACAGGCATTCTGATTATGTCAAATAAAATGCGTGGCAAAAATAGAGATCTACTACCTGGGGAGGCTTCATGATCTCCATTGACACATACTGCGATACAATAAGCAATACAGGCAAAACCAAGTATGCTGCAGTATCATGCCAGCCCAATGGTGGATGGCCATCCTGCAAAAGTGGCATATAATTTTGATCACTTCGATATGACTGGCAGACGCATGACTGACCATGAGGGACCTGCTAACTGCATTATGTGAACATTATTTCAAGCATTTTTCCATGACAGTGCACAAATGACTGAGCCAGTAGACCCTGCTAACCTCATAATCTACATATTATCATCAATAATATGGCATAATCATGGACTATAATGATAGATTTTTACATAAGGATCCTTTGAATTAATAATGCGATGAACATCATCAGATAATTATCAAGACTTAAGAGAACTATTCATAGACAATAAAATGGTCTGAAAAATCTAAATGGTTAAAGTTGACATTGAAGTCTGCAGTACATTCCAAAATCTCGCACATGAATATCCATCAAGTTCGAACACAAGGTTTAGGTTACCACGAATGGGAAGAGCCAAGAAATTCCAGATCCACTTTGTCTAGCTGCAATTGTAGTAGGCCCACCCAATGAAGGAATCCATAGGAACCCTTCTGTCAACAATCCCTTCATTGAAAGTGGACACTCAGTAAGAATTAATTTATCTAGGATCCTGGATAGATACAGTTTTTCAATATGTTCAAGAACATGGGAAATTATCGTATCCTTTTGTACCTCATTTGCAACATTTGAAAGAGCTTGATACAGACCTATCCACACCGGAATTGTAGCCAGAGTCGGAAGACAACCTGAAAAGGATATTTCAGTCATCAGAACAATCAGAGCATACCAGAATCATCATAAAATCCACAAGATCAGAAGTGAACTCCTCCAGAACTCCATTTAGTAACATAGACAGAGACCTATAAACCATCCCTTTATGCACCTGATGTGCTATAACAGTAGGACGAATTAGTTGAAAAGGTAAGGAAGCAGAAAGTTGAGATTCTGAAACTGTAATGAAGAACCAAAGCCTGCATATAAGGGCGCGAGGAAATGGATATGGTTGGGATAAGTTCAATAAGAAATTTTCCTTATCAATTTCAATGAGATGCATATTCTAGTTCATTATTCTCATCGACTAGTCCAGAAACTCGGGCAAAGTAGTCCAGTAACAGAAAATTTAACTGGCTGTCAGTACCTGCTAATGGATTAACCCCAGCTTGCCGGTATAAACGTGATGTCTCAAGTTGTATTCTTTCCTACACCATGGAACACCATGTGAGCTCTAGAGTAGACCAATTTACATTTGCAAGCCATGCTCTGTGAACGAGATAGGATTCAGCAGAAAATGCTCCCCACCTGATTGCCGGCGTATCTTTGTTGGATTGCTTTTATCTTAGGTTGAAGGTTTTGCATTGCAAGGGTTGATTCCACCTATAGCACACAAATGACCTGTGGCTATTAACTGAGAGTGATTCAGTTGACTCGGAAGAGAAACAATGACAACTGCAAAACTTGCCTGCTGCTTTGTCAAAGGCAGTGTCGCCAATTTCACAACAACAGTCAACAATATAATGGCAAAGCCGTATGCATAAGGTACATGCACGGCCTCAAGCCCGCCCTTGAGTATCTGAGAAAAATTAAACAGGCTCCTTTCAATAGATATCACTAACCTCTTTCTCTAATTGGAAATCACAAAACAATAAACAGGGAAATCAACTATCTTATAGCTCACTACTCCTAACTAACCTTGAGCACGAATTCCATAGCGTCGGAGATAAACCCGAACCAACCGCCGTTCTTCTGAACGGCAGCAGCATCAGTTGAGCTCGAAGCAGCGCCAGAGTCGACTGCCACCGCGGCATCGGCAAGCGTATACAGGACGCTCTCGGCTCTGGTGAGAATGGAGCTGATATCAATGTGAGAGGGAGGGAGATGAACAGGAGTAATATCATGCAGGCTCATCTTGACTGTCGTAGAGATGAATCGACGGCTGGGAACCGAGTGGACGAGTCCATGGCGAGAGCGGGCGGGAAGTGGCGTTCCGAGGAAGCCCGGAGACGAAATTAGGGTTTTCGCCATGGAATTGGAGGGTGCTGAAACTTCTTCTGGTACAAAATGAGCAGGGGAAACTTCACGTACGCATGAGGAGAGGGAGTTGGAAGGAAGTGGTGGAGATAGGAAAAGAAGGTTGGGCAGTGCCAGTGTAGAGTGCTGAAAGGTCTTACCAGATTATCATCCTGAACTCCCTTTTTCTCCCAACTCCCAATCCTTTGTTGTTGTTTGGATTTTGTTTTTCTGGTCACAAAATAAAAATGAACCACTCAAGTTGTCAAACCAAGTGACAAGTGGTATGTAGGTGGGCATGTGGGTGGTTAATTCGCGGATTGATATCGATTTACTGACAAATAATTTAACTCGCAAGCAGTGAGTAATTGATTCGAGTGGATTGCGGATTGATAAAATCTCTCACTCACACTTATGTGGGTGGGTGGTGGGTGGATTGCGGGTCCCCCTAATGACCCGCATCTATTTTCAAATGGAAAAATGTTGTTTTGACTACTATTATTGGTTATTGTGTTGTGTAATATCCATTAGATATTGGATATTGGAATGCAAATTATTGTTAATATCCATTAAATATTGGATGAGAACTTTAAATTATTAATTTTATCAAAATCACAAAATGCGTAAGTTTTCTCTACACAACTGATTGATAGAGTAGTAAAAAAATTTATGCAAATACTATATGGATTCACTTGAGAATAAATGAGAAGTGTTTAAAACTTTAAATTGATACAATCTTACTAATTTACTATGAACTTATTATAAATTTTAGTCAAACTTTCTTAATGGCTAGTTGGAGAATTGCTTTTACGGGTTAACCAACGACCCAACCTCACTCATATGTTATCCACCCAACCCGACCCGCAGAAGAATGTGGGTGGATTGTGGGTCACAATTATTCCTACGCCTTAGTAAGCAGGTGGGTCAATTTTAAATGAAAATTCACCCAACCCGCCCATTGTCCACCCCTAGTGGTATGGTCCGACGAGAAAATCTTTAGTGCTCCGGGTGTACCACGTCATTCGTGCACCGCCCCAATCATAAACTACCACATGTTAAGAGTTTAAAATGAGAAAAACACAACTACGCTTTGGCGGTGTGAAATGGACGCGTCGTTCCGTATACGTGCCCAAGCCCTACCGACGACAAAACCTCAAACGGAGAAGATGAAATGAGGTATATGAAAACAATAACCAAAGCGCATCAAAGCTTCTTCTTACGGTGCATGTGGGATAATCTTCGGTATGATAAGTCACAAAAGATGAGAGTGAGGAGAAAGTCCCGAGAAAAGTGATAGAATGTAATTCAGCAACCATCAACGAAGAATTCTGGGCTCAAAATATTGATAAGAAAATTTGATGGTTGGCAAATTGGATTCCCAAACTTCTTACCCATTCCAAGGCGTATTGCCTTTTTCCGACTCTTTGACTCTCTGCTTCGCTTTCCCTTCTCACAGCAAGACACCTAGCGGTTTCACCAACCCAAATCAGTGTGAGCAAATCGGATTCAAAGTTCTGTTCAGGGAAACCACTGTTAAATGAACTGCATAATGAACCCCCACTAGAGTCGCCTCTGCTTACAGCTTACGTCGCCACAGTACTTTGCTGGAAGTCGGAATATTAATTAAGCATTCAGAAAAATGCCTCTTTATTTTCCTTTTAACCCTTAACACATGGCAGTTTTTTATTGGGGCGGTGCAGGGGTGACTTGGTACTCCCCATATTTTCAAAAAGACCAGACCTAGATCGGGCCAGTTTAACCAGATTGGACCGTATAGCCAGCCTTAATCATGGTTATGACCTTGCTTTCTGCATGTTCTCTTAACATTGAAGGCTTCCCACTCAATCCCTTGGGTAGGGTCGACTAAAATGAGATTTCATTGGGCAAAATTTCCTGGATAATTTCCATAAAGGAGGAGATGACACACTTGTTCTCTTCGTTTTACCCTTTTTTGTTCTTGAATACCAAGGAACTAGCCGATCTGCGTTGATGATTTCTGCTTTTGTGGTAACTTTGTTCCACTCTACTCTCTATCTCTTACTTGGTTCAATGAGGACATTATCCCATTCATAGAGTGTGGTGGAATTTAGTAGATTGTGCTTCATGCTTATGCCATAATTGTGATGTTTGTTCATGCAGGCGGGGGAGGGTTTTGTGTCTGCATTTGTGCATCAATTTTCAAAGTACTCGAGCAATGCCACACTTCCCAAAGAAAATTCAAAGTTCATCCACTACAAAAAAGACTAGCAGAAGTGACGAAATCCTTTTGACGACAGTGTTTTTTGGTTGGAAATAACATTTTTTGTGACAAAAATTTGTCGTCCTCATAAAAACGTAACATATTTGTGATGAACATCAAAAGTTGTCAATAAAGCCCAAAACATTCATCACTATAAGTCAAAATCGTAAATACGAGGAACGCCATCTCACTTTTACCGAGGATATTTCAACTTTTGTCACAAATACAAATTATTTATGACCAAATTGAAATAGACGTCAGAAATAATATGTTTTTCTGACGCCGAAAAAGAGGGAAAATTTCCTGAATATTATTTTTGAGGACATAAATTTGTCCTCGGTAAATGTTGTTGGAAATAGTATTATTTGTTAGGAATTTTTGTATCTCTCCGAGAAAATAAATTTTTTTATGAGGGAACGTATTTGATCGTCGATAAACGTTTGTTAGAAAAGTGGCTTGAAAAATTGGTCATCACAAGTGATTATTTCATTGAAAAAACTTCGTGAGGAAAACACTTTCTGTGAAGATTTGTATGTCTTCAATAATATGCAAAAAATGTCCTGGAAAGTAGAATATTATTGACAAATTTCGGTTGTCAGAAAATTTTTGTTACATATAAACAAATTCTTAGTTTTAAGAGTTGAAATTAAAGAGAAAGTCACGAATGTACTAGAACCATGGAACACAAATGGACAAGGGTTCTGTATGGGCAGATGAAACGATAACAACCAAGGGTTCTCAATTAGAAGAAGACGATGGCTTTGTCCCTTCATTTTAGGCACCATCTGTAAAGCAATAAAAATAATGGCCTACATTAATATACATGAAAGTTCATCAGACTAATTGGTTAGTACGTATGTTTTTGTCAAGAAGACATGGGTTTCGATTCTCCAAATTGCTTCCAATTATTTAATTAATTTTTTTAAACTAAACTCCAAACCGTAAAACCTGAATCCTGAACCCTATAAATACTAAACGCCCTATACCTTGTACCCTAAACCCTGAATCCTGAACCTTGTAAAAAAAAAAAAGACAACATACTTAACCAATTAGGCTTCTTTAGTTTTTTGTTAACAGTTAATCAATATCCCTTTGATTCTTTATTAAATTATTATTAATTTAAATATATTCGTTCCCAATGCCACCTATGGACAAAAAAATTGTCGCCTCTTTTTAACTTAATCAAGTGCGACTTTTTAACTTCATTGATCTATATAATTGTATTGACTCACAATCCAAATCAAATACAATTTGTACTATATAGTACAGGTACAAAATTATTTTTAATCTGTACCATAAGGTATATGTACAAGTTGAATTTGACAATAAATGTATATGTACAAGTTCAATTGAACTTTTACCATAAGGTACATGTACAAGTTCAATTTGTCCAATTAAGGTATATGTGCAAAGGAGTGCCAGTGGCAGAGGCAACATTTCAAACCACCCTTGTCCTCTTTTCATAATGTAAATATATCAGTATTTAATTAAGAATTATTTAATAAAAATATTAAAATTAATTATATCTAAATAATTCGTTCATAGATTAAAAATAACTGACTAAAATCATTATTTTCATAAACAACCACGAATGAATTTCATATTGTGAAAGAAACTAAAAAATATTTGTGATCTACACACTATTAAATAAGTGTCTTTCTATATATCTCTTTAAACAAGCATTAGCAAACTGGTCGCCAAATCGACTTTGAAACTTGTTCTTAATATAACTCAAAGCCGAAAAATGCTCTTTTTACACTTGCAGTTGTAATTGGTAGAATCAAAACTAGTGGAATTGTCGTTGTCGCTAGACAATTTTAGAGTTGTTGGAGGAAAAAATCAAATAGGCATAAGGAGAAAAGAGATCCGATTAGGTCTATATTGCAATTGAAATTTTGTTTATAGTATAATAAATTAATTTTATGTCAATTTATGAACAAACAATGAGTTGTGCTCTAGTGACATAATACTCTAATTCTACCTATAGGTGTTGTGTTCCATCACCAATATAAATATATTTGGCGTATTTTTGTTCCTCTGAAATTTACCCCAGTCCTGGGACAAGGCCCAAAGAATCTGGCTTCGCTTATCCCTACACCCTGCAACAATCTAAATCGGTACTACTTAATCGCTTAATAGGGTAAGTGTATTATTACTTGTTACTTATTTAATTATTTAATTTGATTAATTTTGGATTAGATACACTTAAAAGGAAAGATTTATTTCGGTGATGTAAAAGGAAAGAGATTATGAGTTTTATTATTAAAAAAAAAGAGATTTTGAGAATTTGGTAATTTACAAGGGTAAAGGGAAACACGCTGGGGGTGGGGAGGGGTATATAAACTTCACTTAGAAGTTAAACCCTAATTCACTGCCGCCTAACCCTCTATTGAACAATTTCTTCTTCCCTTTCGATCTCTCGTCCACCCTCTGATGGTGAAGCCGCAAGCGCGACACATCTCCTCTTATCTCTCATATCTCATCTCCTCGACCGGAGATCCAAATCACAAGGTAAGTGTTTTGGAGGCCTTCGATTGAGTTGATTCTCTCAATCGGGAATTTTTTTTTCGAACCCTAAAATTTTCCAATCCCCAATCGAGTATCCACTGTTGTTTTCCCCTTTCAGCGATTCAGCATCATGACCCTTTATTCCGTTGATTGATCTAGTGTTGTTTCATTGTAATCACTATGAGTGAAAAGGGATATTTGTTCAAGGGTCTGACTGGTTCATGTTAAGTCCAGAACTCATAAGCGACATGCTGAGAATTTATGGAGATGATTATGTTTTTTCACAATCACTCTTCTTCTCTGTCGTCGGTTACCCAAGCCAAGATGCATTGCATACTTGAGACTTTTGATCCGATTCTGACCCCTTTGGTATTTTTTATTTTATTTTTCTGGGGTTTCAATGGAGGTGAGAAGAGCAGTTGCCGGTGGAGGTGGGGAAGCAACACCCACCAACGTCGAAGGATGAGTTTTCTTATTGGTATGCTCCTAACATCGCTTAATCGATCTTGAATGATTCTAGTTTGGGTTGTGATTGTTTTCTGACTCGCTTGTCCTATTAATTCTGACTTATTGTTTCTTTTGTCCTCTAAAACAGGCATCACAAGATGCATCATGATGATGAGGATGATTCAACCTAGGAGAGGATCGTGGTTGGCCATTGGAGAAGGAGGAAGAAATCGCAAAGGGCAGATGCAGTGGGTGGGAGAGGAAGCGAAAGAGATTTGTTCTATTTTTTAATTAATAATTTTAATTAATAATGTACTTTGGTTTTCTAATAAATGTATATAGTAAGTTGTGAACAATAATTGTCATTAATATCAAAGAAAATTTCTTAAAGAAAATGTCATTGAATAATATTTTGTTGGTGCTTTTAATATATGATCATTTATTTTGTTGTTGGGAATGCACAGACAATAATTACGTTTTTAGGTATTAAATGTATTTATCTAGTGTTCCGACGAAACCATTGGATCGGTAATAGTTTTATTTATGAGTTCTCCATTCATGAGAACATTTACTCCTCAGAAATAGCAAAAGGGTATTTTGGGAACAAATTTTTTTGCCTAATTATACAACCTTTTCTGACAATAAACAAGTCATCACAAAAAATATAAGGGTATTTTGGGGATGGAAATTCCAAAGTGTTATTAACAAAAAAATATTATTGCTTACAAAAAAATATTCTCACAAATACTTAAACTGACAAAATAATTTCCTTAGAAATAGTTTTTCCTCTCTCACAAAAACTTTTCGTCAAGTTTTTTCCTCAAGGGTATTTCTTTTCTGACAATGATAAATTGGGTTTTGAGGATAATTTATCCTCACAAAAAATGTTTTTATGACGCCAAGTTTTTTTATACTATTACCTACGGACCTTTACCCCACGACCCGCTAACGACCGTATTTCGTCAGAATAAACTTTTAGTGACGAGAAAAGGCCTTTTGTGACGCCAATCGTCTGGTAACATCTGCCAGTCTTTTTTGTAGTGATCATACTTTGAATTTCTAGTCTCTATAGTGATATGTGATCTAGGAAGGCTAGTGTAGAGGCTATGAAGGATGTCCTCGTCATGAAACATTGACCTATCTTAAAACGTAAGGACATGTGCTTCTCACTATCCTCTGGAGCTCTTAAACTCCTCATCTTATACTTAAAGACTCAAGTAAAGGAAAAGACTCAATCTCGTGAAAGACGAATCATGTCATGCTTGACAAAGTATGTTTCACGCTTCATTGCCATGGTCAAAGTTCTCTAAGCGCGAGGGTTGACCTTATAAGCTTCTTATGGTCCACTACTTAAGATTATACGTGATATGTCACCTTAGAGGTCTAGTGGGTTGTACAATTATGACCTTAGGTTTGCTTGGGGACAAACAAAGTTCAAGTGTGGGGTTGTTTGAAAACATGTTAAATACACTATTCTATACCCACGTATTAAGATTAAAAATGCATTGATTTCTCATATTTATTGTCATAATACCTTGGATTTGATATGTGAATTCTCAAAGTGTGTTTGTGATTGCTTTTGTTAATCAAGTTACACTTTTAGTAGTTTTTATGCATTTTCAGGTCAAAGCAGGCCAATGGGCCACTTGGGAATGTCAAGGCACATCGAGGCTCAACTACTGGAGCAGGAATGGAAGGAGGAACCTGGACCCAGAAACAACACCCTAATCGATGGCCTGATGGCCAAAATGAGAAATGGTGTTGTGGCTGTCAATTTCGGGAAGTTCTTACTTCGTCAGAAAATGCCTAGAAGCTACCCTGAAGTAGTAGTTGCATTTAAGGGCTCTTCTGATTGGCTGGATGACGCGTCAAGGCTGAGTTTCTCTCCTAGGAAACCCTAATCCAAGATCTATATAAAAGTCTCTAGGATTTAGAACTCGGTAGCCAGTGATAGGAGGCATTAGAGGATTGTTACTCTGCCGATAGAGTACCCTACATCACTTAGAGAGATAGACGTTGTCGGGAGGAATCAACTGCAGAATCGACGCCCTCTAGCCTGATTTTTCTGGTGTGGCTACGGATTTCAGTGGTCTTCTGAAAGCTTCATTTTAATCGATGATTCCCTGAAAACTCAGTCCCATAACCAACTAGTTCCTTTTAGCTTCATAGGTGTGCAAACCCTAAAGGTACTGAATATGTAAAACTCGATGTTTGGTATTCAATATGACTGTTTCTATCTTATAACTGTTTGTGTATGATTTTCACTATGTTATCTCTTATTGGTTGGAATCAAGGTTGTCAACCCGCGGGCTGACCCGGACCCGGTCGAGCTAGTGGGCCAAGGGTTTATGGGTCACCTGTTTTAGCCCGGTTTAGCCCGAAAATATAAAAATAGTCATTATATTGTACTTATCCTGATAAATTATACAAATCTCATATAACATATGAGTTATAACATATAATATTACACCAAAATAAAATGTCGTACTTAGATCCAACATATAGTGAAAATTCACACACACTTCTATAACATCAATATTCAAATATTCAACTTAGGATTCCAAAGATTGAGTTAGGCCAAAAGAAAACTCGGAAAATAGGCGCATTTCGCAAACCAAAGAAAAAAATGACACAATTTGACCTCCAACCCGGTACCTTGTAGCGGTCGACCCGACGGGTGCGTGCGATCCATTTTTCTCACCGGGCCAGAGTCAAAGTGGGTCGACCCGCGGGTCAACCCGCAGGTTGGCAACCTTGGTTGGAACGAATGCTTAGTCGAGCTTTCATCCGTTCATGGTGCAAGTATTGAAACTCTAGTCATTTAGAGCAAGACAAGACATGGTGGCTCTACTCGATCGATCATCATTCGTTCAAACGGCGTGACACCTCAAGGGAGAAATTCGTAGGATCCTTGTCACCCATCGATCATCATTCGACAAAATCCGAAAAGTTGATAAACATATTTTTAATATTAACTATTAATCGTTAAACTGTAAGAAAAATAAAACATTAACAATAGGCACAATTTTTGTGGTTATTGTGGTTTAATCATTGTAATTAGTAGTTAACCAATAGCCACAAAAGTTACAATTTTACTAACCCCAACCAAATCACCAACCACAAAAATGTGGTTACGCACAGTTAACCAAATTGGGTATGATTTTATGCAGTTTGGTAACCCCAAACCATATTTCCACTGCTGGGCGATGGTGCTTGCACAGTTCACTGGCGTCGGGCGTTGGTCCGACGATGACGATGAGCGGACGACCTCTGGATGTCAATAGGCCTTAGAGCCAAATTCATTGGGCCCGATGGGCTCGGGATCATTCCCATGACAAATTAATCAGACAACATCAGCATTGGCCATTGCAATTTGCAGCAGAAACACTTATGGACAAATTCAATGACGAATCAGACAGTTAACAAGGTCGCTGATTCCACTGTTTGTGCACTTGCAGCAGCAGATATACAGCGTAAAGATGATATTTTACATGGGTCTTCGGCCACGAAAATACACCCAAAAACAGAAACACATCTCTTCAATGAAAAAATAAGTAGAGAAGATGATTACATGTTACAACAATGGTGCAGCACGTTAAACACATTTATAGGTAAAGTCCCATCTCCGTACTCTCCCCCACCTTTCTGTTTCCTGCCCTTGCATAGACTCGACTCTTACCGGCTTATGCACCCTTTTGTCTTGCAAGTTTGCAGCTTTCAATCCTCGCCTTCAAAAATAAATAGCTGTTACAGATGGGCGGGATCGGGTAACCTTCCACCTTTCCCTCTCAAAATTCGAAGAAGTCGGCCTTTGAGTGTATCTATTTATATTTATATTTAACCGAAACCACAAAATCAAGGCACAGAGAGACGATCAAAACTTTTCATCAGCTATCTTCAGGATTCGTGATAGCAGCTGATGGCCCATTCAGTTGATGGTGAGCATCCGATTGGCCTTTGGCCAGCTTCTGCTGTTCAATGAACCTACTGATACGGTCAAGCAGCTGCTGAGCCTTTCGCTTTCCTCGTTCTGTCCCATTGTGTGCCAAATCCAAAAGTGGTGCCATCACTCCGAGCTCTCGTGCCTCAATCATGTATTTCTGATCTCCAGAACAAAGATGCACCAAAACGGCAGCTGAATTTTCTCTGTTCCTTGGAGATCCACTTCCAATAACTTCAACCAAAACAGGTACAGCCTTTGCAGCACCAATGGCTCCCTTACCATCAGGGTGGCTAGCCAATATTGCTAGTATGGCCAGAGCTTCATCAACCATCCCACCACCTGGCTCTGTAAGCAAGTGCATCAACGTGGGGACCACCCCAGCCCTCACTGCTTTCCCCTTGTTCCCCTGATAAATGCACAAGTTGAACAGTGCAGTTGCAGCATCTTTTTTCCCTCTCTGGGTGCCTTCACTCAGAAGCATCACCAGTTGGGGAATAGCTCCAGAAGCACCAATTATGACCTTATTTTCATCGACGACCGAAAGGCTGAAAAGGGTAGCAGCAGCATTCTCCCGGGCTTCCATGCTGCCCTTTTTCAGCACATTTACTATACCGGGAACAGCTCCTGCCGATATGATGCTACCTTTGTTGTCCTCGCATATGGAGAGGTTAAGCAGAGCTGTCACGGCATGTTCTTGGGTGCGAGAGTCGGGCACTGAGAGGAGGCCAACTAGGAGAGGAATTGCACCGGCTTCAGCAATAGCCACACGGTTGTCGGCATTACGCTTGGCCAGAAGGCGGACTTCGCCTGCAGCAGAACGCTGATCCTCAGGAGTTCCAGACGTCAGCTTTTGGAGGAGTATTTCGATCTTTGTACGTTCGGCAGGGGAGAAGGAAGATGCCAGTTTACTGGTTCGCGAACTGCTTGGTCGTTTTGGTGGTTCGACTCCATTTGCTTCGCACCACTGGGCAATGAGGCTGCGTAGGACATAGTTGGGGGTGAGTGTGGTACCAGCAAGAGATTGCTGCGTCTTTGGGCATGTTCCATGTGTTTCCAGCCATTTCTCAATGCAGGATCGTTCATAGGTCTACAGCAAGGAAATGAAATGACGATTAAAAGTGACAGAAAGGGAGATAACAAAGCTTAGTCTCTACTTTGAGCCAATTGAAAGCAATGATCATGAGTTCCATCAACAATTAGAAAACAGAGAAAAAGTTTAAAGAAGTGGACTGAGAAAGACTTTTTTTTTCTGTACTCATTTGGATAAGCGATGCAGGTCATGGCAACCACATAGCAGTGCGAAACAACATTGGATACATTGAACTCTTGCATGATTAAAAATGGAAATTTGAGATAGCACAGAGAAGTAAGTTTGTTGAACTTATATACCTGCCCTGTTGATACAATGACAGGATCTTTCATCAATTCTAGAGATATAGGACAGCGGAAATCATCTGGTATCACAAGAACTTTATGATTCTCATCGGTAGAAGCTTGTCCACTGCTACTTTGAGGAGCACCTTTTCCCCCAGGAGCATCCAAGTTGGGATTCTCAGTCTGAACAAAATTCTTAATCTTTTTTAGTAGCATCCACATCTTCTCTATTTTCTCCTCGGGGTCTCCACCTGTAGCAGAAACCATCTCATGCAAAGCAAGTGACTCTTGAGTAAGCTCATCTATCCCGGTTAGTTGTAGCTTCTCAGACAATCTCCGTAGAAGAGCAGGATCTTCTGACGCATCAGTAGTTTCGCCATGAAGCTTAAAGAGATCGAAATAGAGGCCCGTATCAGGGAATTCGAATTTCCCTTTGGCTCTCCTGAACTGGAAAAGGACGAGCTCAACCTGAACAAATAGCCAGAACATGCAATCAAGTAACTACTATACCCAATAAGCACCGTCTCATAACTCGATGGTATGTCTTTGTATAAGGAGTTGCAGTGAGAGGCAAAGGGCCATTGTGGTGACCAGGAACGGGACATCTGCCAACATATCAAAAGTATCTATCATCTGACACCTATGTACAAGATCACATTAGCACTAATGCACTATGACAGACCTATAAGGATGAATGGGTGGAAGAAGACTTGCTCAATTAAACTGGCGTATGAAGAAACCCTACTACTATGGTGATTATACAAACTACATAGGTTCACTGAGATGCCCCGCACATGAACTAAACAGACATGCTAAGACCAAGTGTTATAGTTGTTGGATCCCGATAAGCTGAATCTCCCACCTGTTCTTTAACTTCATCTGATATGTCAAGTTTTTCCAAAAAGATTCCACTAAGAGCTTCTTCCAACTGAAATGTCAACTCATGATACTTAACGACTATGTCCTCTCTCTCCAAGGCCTGCAAGCAAGAGTAGAAACTCTACTTTCAGATACAGTTGAATATCACAGATCAAGTTGATCAACAGAACGAAGTCAAATGAGCCCAGCAGTGAATGTTAGTTTAAATGGAAAAGAGACTAGGAAGAGAAAGCTTAAAAATCAAAGGAAGCACTTCACGTTAACGACAAATTCACTTGGGTTGTCATGTGTCATGTCCAAAGATAGCAGTAGAAATTGCAACATTGACAAAAGAAAGAAAGAAAGGGGGGATCGGCGATGATATATAACATGCTGGAAGGAATCTAGTTCCAAAACTTGATATGTGAAAGAGACAGCCATGAAACCAAAACTATATACATTTCTGAGGCAAACAAAAAGAAGAACACAGCCAGCACAATCGAGAAAAAGCATGTTGAGGTACACTGGTACACAATATTCGGTTCTACTTGCTTGCTAATGCTAACTGATCTGAATATGACATGGAAGCCCATGTGTTAGTTCGACAAGAAGAAGAAGAGACCCAGTCAATTCTAACTGAAGGAATTGGCAGGGAAATCAGAGAAGATAACGAAACGGCGGAGATTTAGGAACTAGATGCTTGTCCTAAAGTGTCTTAAACTGCTCCGATCGTTCTAATAATAACATGTAGAAATCTAATTTCCGAAAAGAAATTTTGCCACTTATATCCATCCACTTAGCTTCAGCCATTTCTTCAGCATCCAAACCCAGTTGAAAAAGGAAAAAAAAAATGGCCCCAGAAGTTGAAACTGGGGAAAGCAAAGAAGCAGGATTCACAATCAAACAAGTGGAGAAGCTCCAGAAAAAGGGCAGTAGGGTACCAGGTAAATTTTGCTGCCTTGGCTCCCGAATCTGAGCAATTCCTTGGCTGAATCGAGAGCAACCTTGAGAGACGCCAGAGAATCCAGGGTCTCGTCGGGGATCGCCTCTTCGCTGTCTTGAATTTCTTCGAACATTGGGGTCAAGAGCTTCAACCTCCGAGCTAGATTGCAGTACTGCTTCTTCACCGAGCATCTGTAATCAGAGATGGAAGCGATCTCGTCTACCGTATCTATCAGGCTCTGAACCAGTAGCCTGGGAGCCTCTTCCTTGTTCTTCTTCTCTTCCTCCATATCTTCCCTTCCCCTCGGAAAGCAGAGAAGAGAAAGAAGAAGAAAAAGACCAGATCTTTCTTTTCTCCCCAGAGCAGAGCAGTAACGGAATTAAGATTGACCGAGTATGTCCTTGGGATGGGAAGGAGAAATCTCAAGAGGGGTTGGTCTTCCCTTGACTAAACTAACTCATTAGCTTCCGAAAGAAAGAGAGACTACTGAAGAGGCCATTGTCGCTCCCCTCCTGAGAGCAAGAGAAGAAGAGAGAGAGAGAGAGTGAAAAAGTGCCTCCCCGACCCTGCTAATGGCGCAGCGGAGCTAAGTCTATGATTATGAGTGATTACCCCAACCCAATCAAGACCCAACCCAAGTCTTGTTCTGATTATTTATGAGGATTTGAAGTAGAGAAGACGCCGGGGTTTCCATTTTCCAAATGAGGAGAAGGCGACAGAAGACAGAAGAAGAGAGGCTTTTTTTTTCTATTGGGAAAGCTAGTTAGTCAGCGCGTGGGTGGACTGGCACTGGCCCGGTGCAGCTGAGATGGAGCCAAGCTCTTCGTTTGTTTTTGGTGCGCCATTTGGATTCGTTTGATTTCCATTAGTTAAATTAACACTGCCCGCCGGCGCCGGAGCAATGGTACAGAGGCGGCTTCAGGCTCCCTTTCATGTTTCGTCCAATTTTCGCTTGCTCTCTTCCTTTTTATTAGTAGGTAGTAGAGAAGTCGAACTTTGAAATTTGTTACGGTTCAAGTGCCAAGGAAAATCGGGTTCGTAGCTTTGTCCCGGTAGAAATAAAAAATTGTAAAATTATACCGATTTTATACCGGAAAAGTTAGTAATAGGGACATGGGGTATTTCTAATAAAATCATGATTTAACGTTGGTTCAACCATTTCTAATCGCAAAAACTTTCTAACGATATGGGTGGGTATTTCCGGTCCGACTGGCCGATAGTGTTGGGTTTCTTAAATATTGGTAAAACCATGATAGTGCCTAAGGTCATCTACAACAAGTAGGGCTACAAATGAGCCGAGTTGCTCGTGAGTGGCTAGACGTTCGACTCGGGAAAAACTAGTATGAAACTCGACTCATTTACAGGTTGAGCTAAACTTTGTTCAACTCGCGAAGCTCGCGAGCTAGCTCAACCCGATAGTTTGTTGAGTTCAACTCGTGAGCCGGCTCCTTTAGAGATCATGAGATGTCTCAACATTGTGGCTAGAGAGCCAACTTGATCACTGACTTATGAGTGAATCTATCTATATCTTAGGAGTTGGATTTTGATAATTCATAGGTTTGTTTAATAATATATCTCACCTCATATGAAGTTTAACATGTTGAGCATGTAAGAAAATACACCTCTTTAATTTTATAAACAAACTATGTATCATAAATTGCTTCGATAGAAATAACATGATTTAAACTAGTTAAAATATATTAACTAAATAATATGATACCAACAAAGTATAATATGAGATTAATTAATGTTGAACATTTGACTATTATTATTTTTCATCATGACATCAATCACATGTACCATACATGACATACAAAATGAATGCATCAAATATGAGCTAAAGATTTTAGTATACAAGAGTAGCTCAAGCTCAAACTGTGTAAAACATGACTCTACTCGACTCATTTTATAGTCCTAACTAAAATACCTAAGTTTCATGCATTGGCTCTCCTTGTCTTTGATGAATTCTTGAGATTTCGTCTATGAATTTCTCCATCATCCATGGTGAAAAGTACTCTCCTGGGAATGCTTGTGCAACCTCCTCCCATGCCCTGAACGTGCCTCTTGGATGCATGTCCAGCCAGACTCAAGCCTTCCCTTTTAATGAGAGGGGAAAAGCTTCGGGGATATAGTCTCTTCTTCTTGTCCTTCGATGCTGGAGCAGAGATAATTGAAGTTCCTAATATTCTCCAGTGGATCCTTGTCATCTTCTCCATCAAATTGTAGTGATGTCCTCACCATCTCTATCCAAGGGGTTTGAGTCTCCATGTCATTTGAATGATGGATGTTGCATTTCATGAACTTTGAGGCCTTGGGTCAAAAGTACTCGAACAGGGTCGCCATCTTGCTTCGTGATCCACACCTTGGTTCCTGAAATGAAAATGGAAAATCTTAATATCCTTAAACAAATAGCTTCTTTCGAATACACAGTCAAAAGTCCCCGACAGCGACAAAAAACTTGATGCAATAAAGATTATAGTAATAATCCTATATATGCCTAGGGTCGTATTCCATGAGGTCTTTTGATGGTAGCTACTCAAAATTAGATGCTCAAGTGATTAGTAGAAATAACAGAAAGTGGAAACAATGGATTGAGGTTCCCTATTGAATTCGAGTAACACACTAAACAAAGAAAGAGTAAACGAGGAAAAAAGTGAAAATAGAGCAAGTAGGAAACAATTGTTTAGGAAGTGTCATCTAGATGGCCATGATACTTTCTCCTTGATAATATGTGTATATGTATCGATGCTTTGACAACATCCTATCATTTCCCCTAAGCCATTCCCTACCCGTGCATGCAACTCTTACGATAGGAAGTTAACTAGCTAATGCATGATTTCACTTCGTGCCATCAACTAACTAATGAAGTACAAGGAAGGATAGCTCATCTTTATCTGTAGGCCTCTATGAGCCATAACGATGCTCTATGGTATTGGGGATTTTCAAACATCAAACATCATCATCATCTGGGTACTAGAGGGTTGTACTTCCCCTCTATACATGCATAATGATGATGCCTACTACACGAGATTATTTCCCTTTTCTTTCACGATAGTAGTATAATCAGCACACATAGTAATGCATCATATCAAGATAATTATCAGACAAATAACTAGACCATTGATGCTCCAAGAATGTCCATCGATGCTCTAGGACATCTCATTAATTCACTGAAAGTAATACAATATGCATCATAAATCAACAAAGAGTTTAGCTAGCCATGTGAGATTGGGGAAAAAAGCATCGATGGAGTCATTCTCTCCTCAATCCGACAGAGGTTTAGATGTTTTCATGAGTAAAGTTGTTTTCTAAATGAATTCTAAGCACCTATATATACCACAAGATAGAGGGGTTTTCTAGTCTTTCTCCTCCTAATGTCCGCCAAAACCTTCATTCTCCTACTTGGATTCAGTTTCAATCAACTTGTGGACAAAGTAACTTGATGAGGAAGGTTTTTAGAAGCTTGGGCACGAGCGACGACATGGCGGCGATTGGGACCGCTGCTTGTTCTCTTTGTGTTATGAGCTCCTTGGCCCATGGGCTACCTTTGTTCATCATGTACGCATCTTGAATATGTTTCCTCCAATGGCGGTTGGATCAATTGATGGGTCGTCACTGGTATCGCGTCTGCTTGGACCGAGTTTTTGTTCCTTAGGCTTCTCTTGGGCTCATATTGTGATTACTAATAGGCATCTGCGTCATAAGACCTCGTATTTATCGTGAAAGCTCCATATTCTTCTCTTTATAGTTCTTTTTGTCCTCTAGAGTTCTTCATTGATTGATCCAAGTTTCCTTAGACTTCGTTGTACCTTGAAATACATAAAGAACATAACAAGAAGGCATTAAAGAGTTTAAAAATCCATTCTAGGTCTATTAAGCCGCCGAAGGGCTTTTCTCTAGGCCTTGAGTGCCATTTGAGGATGTTTTTGGGGACCTGATAGCTTTCTAGCGTATCGATTATCTTTCATTACTTTCCATCCCCAAAACACCTCTCCTCCTCACGGACTCGTATGTTAAGGAGATACTGTGCCTTTAAGCGAGTCATGAGACCTCGTTCTCGTTGGTGCTCGACATGTGTGGCAACCCGTCTTTCGTTGAGATGAGGAGTGAAGGTTTTGAAGTGGTTCTCGGGCAATGAATCCGACCATCATGTTCCCCACATGAGGCAGTGTCCTTTCGCTCTTAGTCACGAGGTAGATACTTTAATTTGCAAAATTAGAAAAGTGTGGTGCCATATGCGTCAAAGTTTAATTTGAGGCTAAAAAATTTGAGCCCTCTTTTGAAAAATAAAGTAGGAGCACCACCATGGAGGCCATCATTTCTCATGTTTTCTTGAGAGTCCCCCAGTGCATCATAAAATATCAAGACCTCCTTAGTTAACAATGTCCCCATCTGAGAGAGTGTGTTTCACAAAGAGATTAAAATAGTGTTCTCTCATCTTCGATTGTCTTTGAGGTGATACCAACCGACTATAGTGCATACCATTGTGATTTTCTTGCATTTTTTGCACTTGTGTGAGTTAGGTTTTCTAGAGGAGAAGCAAACATTCAAGTGTAGGGGAGTTTGATTCGGGCGCATTTATACATGTTTTACCATTCATATCTTTGATTGTTTGACTTGTAAATCAACGTTCCTTGACCTATTTTACGCTAGGTTGTGCTTCTTTTGTCACATTTCAGGTCCTAGTACGCATGGGAAGGTTGGGGACGAGTTTCGGGCTATTCGAAGGCTAAAACGAGCCAAAAAGTAGAGTCTATGCAAGGTTACGAGCAAGGCGTAATGTTCAGGCCTTGAGGGAGTGAAAATCGCACAAAAAAACAGTGAAGATTGCAATTTTCTAGAAGCCTTTGTGCATCTCGTGGTCTATGCACACTTTCACGCCCTAAGGGAGTGAAAATAGCATTAAAACCATGAAATGTGCACAGTGAAGATTGCAATTTTCTAGCAGCCTTTGTGCATCTCGTGGTCTATGCACACTTCACGCCCTAAGGGAGTGGGTTTTGTGCTGAGAACACGTTTTGCACTGTTCACAGCTGTGAAGTAAACACAAAAAATGTGATCCTTGCACTGCTACGAGTATAAATTGACAGCAACAGATTTTGAGCAAGGGGGAGCTGAGTTTTTTTTACCCCAAAACACTCAAGGGGTGATTCTAGAGAGAGGGACCTAGGAGGGTTCTAGGAGCTATTTTGGACAATCAAATCACCGTTGGAGCTTGAAGAAAATCCCCTAGAAGATGAAGATTGAAGATTCTAAGCCTAAAATGTATTATCTCTCCTCTTCTCAATGAATTAGCTTTCCTTCTCTTAGGTTGATGAACCCTAGGTCTAGATGTTGGTTTGATTATTGATGTATGTGACATATCCTATGATTTTGAACTCTTATTATCTATTTGGGGTCGTTTGGATGAAGCATTTCCAAAATGAGGCAATTTGATGTAAATGTCTCATTTTACAAAATGAAACAATTGTATGATATATTTGTTCCAAATTGTCTTGTTTGGCTTGGTATTTGAGATGAGGCAATTAATGAAAATACATTTTTGTACTTTTTTTCTTACCCTCCTCCATCTACCTCTATTAGCACAATTTGTTTTGTGTGTGTGAGGCCAAAAAGCTTGACTGAATGGAAGCTTTACTGAATCAAAGCAACAGGAAAGAAACCCAACCCCTTACAACATAGCATCCAAAATCT